GCTGTATCTCACACCCACAATCACACTCCATCGCACAGACACACAAACTGTCACATGCAATCACACCCACACGCTCTCACACACAAGCACACGCTTGATCACACATCTGGTGTATCACACACATACAAGATCAGACTCCATCACATAGACACATAAACTGTCACACACAATCACACCCATGCTCTATAACGCACAATCACACACGCTCGATCACGCTCCAGCTGTATCTCACACCCACAATCACACTCCATCGCACAGACACACAAACTGTCACATGCAATCACACCCACACGCTCTCACACACAAGCACACACTTGATCACACATCTGGTGTATCACACACATACAAGATCAGACTCCATCACATAGACACACAAACTGTCACACACAATCACACCCATGCTCTCTCACGCACAAGCACACACGCACACGCTCGATCACGCTCCTGCTGTATCTCACACACACAATTACACTCCATCACACAGACATACAAACTGTCACACGCAATCACACCCACACGCTCTCACACACAAGCACACACGCACACGCTCGATCACGCTCCAGCTGTATCTCACACCCACAATCACACTCCATCACACAGACACACAAACTGTCACACACAATCACACCCATGCTCTTTCACGCACAGTCACACACGCACACACTCGATCACGCTCCCGCTGTATCTCACACCCACAATCACACTCCATCGCACAGACACACAAACTGTCACATGCAATCACACCCACACGCTCTCACACACAAGCACACGCTTGATCACACATCTGGTGTATCACACACATACAAGATCAGACTCCATCACATAGACACATAAACTGTCACACACAATCACACCCATGCTCTCTCACACACAAACACACACTCACACGCTCAATCACGCTCCTGCTGTATCTCACACACACAATCACACTCCATCACATACACACACAAACTGTCACACACAATCACACCCATTCTCTCTCACGCACAAGCACACACGCACACGCTCGATCACGCATCTGCCGTATTACACACATACAAGATCAGACTCCATCACAGACACACAAACGGTCACATGCAATCACACCAACGCTCTTTCACGCGCACACGCTCGATCACGCTCCTGCTGTATCTCACACCCACAATCACACTCCATCGCACAGACACACAAACTGTCACATGCAATCACACCCATGCTCTCTCACACACAAGCACACACGCACACGCTCGATCACGCGCCTGCTGTATCTCACACCCACAATCACACTCCATCGCACAGACACACAAACTGTGACACACAATCACACCCATGCTCTTTCACGCACAATCACACACGCTCGATCACGCTCCAGCTGTATCTCACACCCACAATCACACTCCATCACACAGACACACAAACTGTCACACACAATCACACCCACACGCTCTCACACACAAGCACACACGCACACGCTCAATCATGCTCCTGCTGTATCTCACACCCACAATCACACTCCATCGCACAGACACACAAACTCTCACACGCAATCACATGCTCCTTCATGCACAATCCCGCGCACACTCTCACACACACACACACACGATCACATTCACACTCCATCACGCCCATGCTCACACTATGACCGATACACATGCTCTTATCACGCGCAGTCACATATGCCTTATCACAGACATGTGCCACTGGTCATGCCCCCACCCCACGCCCAGCGCAGCCAGCACCCCCTGGGCCCAGCTGTGCCCTGCCCACCCCGGGCACAGACGCCCTCTGGCAGAAGTGGCTTCTGCTGGACCCTAAGGAAACCCTGAGCCCTGGCTGGCGGACACTTAGCGGCACCTAGTGTTCACATCCAGCAACAGCTGCTGAAAATGCCTCTCCTCCCGCCCCACATCTCTCTCCCTGTACCACTTCTTCCCTTTCACCCCCTTAGCGCTGGCTTCTCCAAGTGGGTTCGTACAAACACACCCGTCCCCAGGCCCTGGTTCTGGGCCGTGCCAGAATGCTGTGGGGCCAGGACAGGCGGGACACCACGCTGACATCCCGTCACAGGGCACAGGTGCCCGCCTGGCCCGGGGTGGGGGCGTTGTGTTGAGGATACTGGGGACAACGATGGGGCCCCTGGGCAGAGTAGAGCCCGCACGGTCTGCAGAGGAGTCTGTGGGCAGCATCAGGAAAGCACAGGGCAGTGGTGCGAGCACCCGAACTCCTGGGTTCCAATCACAGCTCTGAGACAGACTCATGCTAGGTCCCACCCCTGCCAAGGCCCAGCGCCCCATTCCCTGTTACCCAGAATCCCCCGGGACCCTGCCCAGCCCCTGTGCCCCATTCCCTGTTACCCAGAATCCCCCGGGACCCTGCCCAGCCTCTGTGCCCCATTCCCTGTTACCCAGAATCCCCTGGTGTTCTCCCCGTCCCCAGCGCCCCATTCCCGATTACCCAGAATCCCCTGGGGCCCTGCCCAGCCCCTGCACCCCATTCCCTGTTACCCAGAATCCCTCGGAGCCCTGCCCATCCCCAGTGCCCCTTTCCCATTCCCCAGGAACTTGTGCATCCTCAGTGCCCCATTCCTGGTTACCCAGAATCTCCTGGTGTTCTGCTTATTCCCAGGGCCCCATTACCCAGAATCCTCCCGAGCCCTGCCCAGCCCCTGTGCCCCATTCCCTGTTATCCAGAATCCCCTGGGGCCCTGCCTGTCCCCAGTGCCCCATTCCCAGTTACCCAGAATCCCCCGGGGCCCTGCCCAGCCCCAGCACTGAATTCTCTTTCTCTGGGGTTGAGGCCAGAGCCAGAGTCACTATCCCAGAGCCAGATCAACGGGTCGAACCAGAGGGCAGGAACTGGAGCGAGCAGGGTAGCAGGCAACGACGGGTTCAAGGCAGGGGCAGGACAGAGGCCAGGCTGGATGCAAGGCCGGGGCAGGAGCAACCCGGTCACACAGGAGCAGGCACAGGGGTGGGCAGGAGCACTGAGAAGCCACCAAGAGGCTGCTGCAGCTACTGGCTTAAGAGCCAGCCTGCTGGCCGCTTGTGGCCAGTCTGGTGGTGTGGCCAAACAGGCAGGAAGAGAAAGACATGAGAATGATCTTCAACAGAGACCACACCCTGTGCTTTCTGATAGTGCAGCATTCCAACTCGGGAACCTGTTCCACACTCAGTACCTCCCCTTCACTTGCTGTTCATTTTCCAAATGGTAGCCAATTTGCGGTTTCCATTCAATGTGGCACACATCATTTTCAGATTCGGCATGTTCGCACTGTGAAAGAAACCATGCTTATCAGCTTCTCCCCAGAAATGCTTTGTGTTCCCTTAACAGCAATGTAGCTGGGAATCTGGCCCCGTCTACACTAGAAATGTATCTCGGACTAGCTATGTCTCTCGTGGGGTGAAAAATCCACACTCAAGAGACGCAGCTATGCCAACCGAACCCCCTGGAGCAGGCAGCACTACATTGACAGAAGAATTCTTCCATCAACCTAGCTACCACCTCTCGGGGAGATGGATTACCTATGCTGATTGGGAGAACATTGGTGTAGGTAGTGTCTACACTGAAGGGCTACCATGACACAGCTGTACCAGGAGTGGTGGAAGCTTCCTAAAAGTGAGGGGCCACCGGTGCCCGAACTGTGGCCTCACCCCCTGCACTGCCCCTTCTCCCAAGGCCCCACCCCTTCTCCCCGAGCCCCACCCTCATGCCGCCCGTTCCCCCAAAGCCCTGCCCCCTGCTTGCTCCTCTCCACTCCGTCCCCCTCTTCGCTTTCCCTTTATACTGACACTGCATCGACCTCTCGTTACATCACCCGTGGAGTTGTTAAGTCGGCGTGGTGGGGTAGTAACATCGGAGGGAGCAAAATTTTAGTATAGACACTTCCATAGTTAGGTCATTGACCTAACTCTGTGGTGTAGACCAGACCTCTGTAAATCCTGCTACCCTCAAATGAGCATAAAGGACCCTTGCTCTGTGCACTGTTTTCAGGATGCATGAGCCACAGAGAAGCTATTAAGAGCAGCTGCCAGACCTGCTTACCCTGCACCCATTGCACAGACCCTGCATCTCTCTCTTGAGTCCCCACACAACATGACCGTGGCTAACCACCAGCTCCCTAGATGGTTCCCAAATGACCCAAGCTGCTGAAAACGCTGCCCTTGGAGAACTTCCTGGGGAGGTGGGTAAAGATGCATGTTTATTCTGGTTTCAGAGTAGCAGCCGTGTTAGTCTGTATTCGCGAAAAGAAAAGGAGGACTTGTGGCACCTTAGAGACTAACCAATTTATTTGAGCATGAGCTTTCGTGAGCTACAGCTCACTTCATCATGCTGAGCACCCAACAATTGGGTCTAGATGATCATGGAAAGAGCCTAACGCCTGCGGTTAGGTGACCTCCCAGAGCCCCAGGGGCAGCTCCAGTGATGTCTAGCAGCGTGGCCTAGCATGGCCTGGAGCCACCCGTCCCCACCGGAGCTCTCAGGCTGGGGGGCTCATTGCGGGGACGACAGCCCCAAGCCCCACTCTGCGTCGGCTCAGAGCCCATGGCACTCATCAAAGCCAGGTGCTCTGGGATGGGGCCGCCCGCCGGATCTCTCTGCATCTGCTGAGGTCCTGTGGCCCCATGGCCACGCGCCCCAGGGCAGGACTCTGTGAGCGCGGGCACCCCACATGTGGGCTCAGAGATTTTCCCTTGGTGCCGCCCAGTCATAACCATGGCGGGTCCTGGCCTAGTCCCCCAATGCTGCCCAATCCCGTGCCTCCACCTTGATGCCATCCAATCACGCCCCTCCCCTCAGACCAGGTGATGCCCAATCAGGTCCCACCGGGCACTGCCCAATGAAGCCTCGGGGCATGGCCACTCTAGCCCCCCTTCCCCGGACTCTATGATGCGCAGTCGCCCTTCCCTCGCTCCCCCGCCTCTCTATGGCTGAGCCCCGAGCCCCGCCCCCTCGCTGCCGGAGGGGCCCGGCGCCTCAGCGCGCGTGCGCGCGTTTGCGACCTCCTCGCGACCCCTCCCCCTTGCTGTTTGCGGCAGCGCTCGGCGGGGCGGTTGGGTGCGCGCGGTTGCTAGGGTCGCTTTACGGCCCGGCGATGGCGGAGGGCGAGCGGACGGAGCAGAGCGGCGGCCTGGGCGGCCCCCCCCGGGGGGGGGAGGCGGGGGCGCTGGAGAGGGCGGAGGCCCTCAAGAGCCAGGCCAACGAGTACTTCAAAGGTAGCGGGGGGGGAGCGGCCAGATATGGAGCCAAAGGGGGAAGCCGGGCGGGGCTGCCAGATATGGAGCCACAGGGGGAAGCCGGGGGGAAGGCGCTGCCAGATATGGAGCTGCTGGGGGGGGGGAGGGGCTGCCAGATATGGAGCTGCTGGGGGAAGTGGAGGGGGGAGGGGCTGCGAGATATGGAGCTAGTGGGGGAAATCGAGGGGGGAGGGGCTGCGAGATATGGAGCCTGAAGGGGATTCGGGGGGGGGGGGGGGAAGGAGCTGCCAGATGGGGAGCCATAGTGGGCTGGCACACAGGGAGCTGTTGTAGGGAGGGGGTAGGGAAGGGGCAGCTAGATGGGGAACCAGGGGGCGAGTGTGGGAGGGATGATGGTGTGAGGGTCCTGCCAGGAGGGAGGGGCTACCAGAGAGTGAGTCCTAGGTGGGGAGCAGAGACGGTGGTAGGGCGCCAGAGGCAGCCTAGTCTAGTGGCTAGAGCAGGGGAGTGGGAGTGGGGGCTCCTGCCTTCTAGTCATGGATTCCAAGGCCAGCAGGGACCAGGTCATCTAGTCTGATCTCTCGTAGAGCACAGGCCAGAGAACTGCCCCAAATAATTCCCAGAACAGATCTCTTAGAAACGTGGTATTGGCCGCTGTTGGAAGACAGGCTACTGGCCTAGATGGACCTTTGGTCTGACCCCGTGTGGCCATTCTTACCTAAACCCATCCCATTTTGATTTAAACATGGTTGGTGACGGAGAATCCACCATGACCCATGGTAACTTGTTCCAAAGGTGGGTTACTCTCACCGTTAAAAATGTATGCCTTATGTGGGATGGATGGACGTGGGGGGGTTATGGGGTCTAGTCATTAGAGCAGGGGACTGACTCCTGGTTTGTGTTCCTGGCTCTGCCAGTGACGTGTGTGGTGAGCAACCCGGTCACACGGGAGCAGGCACAGGGGTGGGAGCTGCTCAGGGATGCGTCCTGCTTAGAGTCTCGGTTTCCCTATCTGTAAAATGGAGATAATGGTATTGATCTGTTCTGTATAGTGTGCTGAGAACTACTGCTGAAAAGTGCTGGAGAAGAGCTCAGGATTATCACCATTGCTATTATTTGTTACGTTCAGGGCAAAGGCCTCATGCCAGCAGTGGAAGCACGCTGCCCTACACACTCAGCTCCGTTTACAGGGGTGCCAACAGAAGGGCCTTATGGTTTCAGAGTGAATGCTTTCCCCTTCTGTTGCTCTTTATCCACGATCTCCAAGCAGTTTGCAAGGATTTGTTAATTTGCCACTACATCCCCCTGGGCATCCTAATTTCACAGCTGGGGAAACTGAATCATAGGGCAGGGGAGGTGACTTGTTCAGGGTCACCCAGGCAGTCTGTAGCAGAGCTGAGAGTAGAACCCAGGAGTTCTGGCTCCAAGTTCCCTTTTCTAGCTGCTGAGGCCTGCTCTACACGTGCAAGTTTTATGGGTTTAATTATTGTGACTCAGGAAGTGATTTTTTTTAAACTGAAATAGTTACACCAGTACAAGCCCTAATGTAGAGGCAGTTACATGGGGATCACTTAGGGTAATAAACTATATTGGTCTAAGCACATTTATACTGCTGCGTGTCCACACAATAGGGTTGTACTGCTGTAACTGTGCTGGTACACTTACTGATTCAGTTTTGAGGTATAGATGTTCCCTGATGCCCATCACTGGAGTATTAAATCAGAGTAAGAGAGGCTGAGCTAGCAAAGGGCCTCAGGATGTGTGGGGGTGAGGGGGAGAAGGTGTTCAGTTGAAGTGACTAGCATAATCTGATCTGTTGATGGGGTTAGTGTTAGAGGAGACGTTGATGTGTCAGGGGGTTTGTCTACATATGGTGCTATTCTGGAATAACTCCATGGTTGAATCAGTTTAAAATAAAACCAGTGAAAAACCCATGTGTGGATACTCTTATTTCCATTTAAACCAGGCTTACTTCAGTTGATCTTAAATTGGTTAAGAATCAGTTTAAATTAACCAGAAGTAAGCCCCTCTTAAATCAAACATCCACACGGCAGCATGCACTGGTTTAACTAAATTGGCTTAAAATCCGATGTAAATTAAACCAGTGCAACATTTTTGTATAGATAAATCCTTATTCCAGAATAAGACCATCCACACGCACTGTTATTCTGGAGTAGCTATTCTGTTTTAAATTCATGTCCTACCTTATTCCGAAGTATCTTGTGTAGACAGGTTCTTATTCTGGAATAAGAGTTCCTTTTTCCAAATTAAGCCAAACCAGAGCAAGGCCCTCTTGTTCTTGGATAAGTGTGTGCACACATGGAGTTATTCCTAAATGGATGTTCTGCTTTAAATTCACACCCTACCTAATTCCAGAGTGACTTTCATGCGTAGACAAGTCCTGAGGTGAGGGAAGGACTGTCTGATGCAACAGAGGGCATATTCCCTCAGGGGAGGATTTGTGGAGCCGAGCTTAATAGTGAGATGAAATAAATGATTGGAGCAAGCGATTGGCAGGAGAGGGAAGACATTGCGGATGGGCATCGCAAATAGGGCAGTGGTTCCCATAGGTTCCCACCTTGTGGCTAGCTTCTGAATGCTTCAGAAGCAGCCTGGCCTGTTTCTTTGGCATAAACAGGGAGAGACTGCCAGCCGGGAGCCACCTGAAGAAATACTTTAACTGGATTGTTGCTTTGCTTAACTTCCCTCCTTCCATATTATGAGGGGTTAATGTCCGGTCCGAGAGCAAACATGGCTCTCTTGGAAGAGGCCATGTGTGCGAGCTCGTTAAGGCCGCTTGTTCTTAGGCCTGAATTTCTGTCCATGGAAGTGTCTGGCTGGGCCTTGTCCTAAAGAGACCCCATCTCCCCAGGTTTGAGAGCTTTCCACCAGGAGATAGCCTCCTTTCTTCCTTGCTCTTTGTCAGTCATTTCTTTATTACTTTAACCCTCCTCTCTGCAGGCAGCCCTTCAGGGGAGGCTGGAAGTCATGTCCCCAACCCCAGGCACCACTCTTACCTCTAGATATGATCCCTCCAGGGCAGGATGGAGGACTATGAGGAAGTCTGCACTTCCTGTCCTGGGACTTAAACAGACCCTGTCACCGACTCTAGGACGTGCCAAACTGGATTAGACCTGATGGGGGATAGTTCCAGTTTCCCATCTTTACCCAGTGCTCAGCACCAGCTGCTTCAGAGGAAGATGCAATGGTGGAATTACCTGATCAGAGCTGAAGGTTCTTCCCCATCAGTCAGTGATTGGCTCTTGCTGATAGCACTTCTAAAAATGCTATCTTGTGTCTAATCAAAGTAAGGAGAGCAGAAATAGGGAAGTATATCTATCTAGAAGGTGTCACCTGGCTTAGTGTCTGGTGAGATCACATGATCAGGTAACTCTTTACTAGCGTTGAAGCCCCTGTACTGCGCACACAAAGTTCCACGGGGTGTGACTGGTCCCCTTGAGTTCCATGGAGTTGCTCTAATCGTTGAAGTTAAACATCTGTAGAGGAAGGATGGCCCAGTGATCATGACACTCTAGTTTAGGACTGTAGAGATGCAGGCCTACTTCCCTGCGCTGCCACAGACTTCCTGTGTAACCTTGGAAAGTCACTATGCCTCTCTGGGCCAGTGGGGATAACAGCACTTCTGTGCCTCATTGGGGTGTGGTGGGAGTATGTACACTAAGGAGGGAAGCGCTTTGAGATCTAGGGATAAAAAGTGCTGTGCAAGAGAGAGGTATTATAGAATCATAGAATATTAGGATTGGAAGAGACCGCAGGAGTCCAACCCCCTGCTCAAAGCAGGACCAACCCCAACTAAATCATCCCAGCCAGGGCTTTGTCAAGCCAGGCCTTAAAAACCTCGAAGGTTGGAGATTCCACCACTTCCATAGGTAACCCATTCCAGTGCTTCACCACCCTCCTAGTGAAATAGTGTTTCCTAATATCCAACGTGGACCTCCTCCACTGCAACTTGAGACTATTGCTCCTTGTTCTGTCATCTGCCACCACTTAGCACAGGCTTGCGCCATCCCCTTTGGAGCCCCCCTTCAGGTAGTTGAAGGCTGCTATCAAATCCCCCCTCACTCTTCTCTTCTGCAGACTAAATCACCCCAGTTCCCTCAGCCTCTCCTCATAAATCGTGTGCTCCAGCCCCCTAATCATTTTCATTGCCCTCTGCTGGACTCTCTCCAATTTGTCCACATCCCTTCTGTAGTGGGGGGAACAAAACTGGACACAATACTCCAGGTGTGGCCTCACCAGTGCTGAATAGGGGGGAATAATCACTTCCCTCGATCTGTTGGCAATGCTCCTACTAATACAGCCCAATATGCCGTTGGCCTTGGCAACAAGGGCACACTGCTGACTCATATCCAGCTTCTCGTCCACTGTAATCCCCAGGTCCTTTTCTGCAGAACTGCTGCTTAGCCAGTCGGTCCCCAGCCTGTAGCGGTGCCTGGGATTCTTCCTAAGTTCAGGACTCTGCACTTGTCCTTGTTGAACCTCATCCTATTTCTTTTGGCCCAATCCTCCAATTTGTCTCGGTCACTCTGGACCCTATCCCTACCCTCCAGCTTACCTACCTCTCTCCCATCTTAGTGTCATCTGCAAACTTGCTGAGGGTGCAATACATCCCATCATCCAAGATTAATAAAGATGTTGAACAAAACCGGCCCCAGGACCGACCCCTGGGGCACTCCGCTTGATACCGGCTGCCAGCTAGACATCGAGCCAATGATCACTACCCATTGAGCCCGACAATCTAGCCAGCTTTCTATCCACCTTATAGTCCATTCATCCAATCCATACTTCTTTAACTTGCTGGCAAGAATACTGTAGCAGACCATATCAAAAGCTTTGCTAAAGTCAATATATATATATATATATATTATATATATAAGTCAAGCTATATCACAAATGCTGAGAAGATCAGAGCCCTAGCCTTCCAAGTGACGGCTGTATTGTCTAGTGTTTCAAGTACTGTTTTGGGCGGGGGGGAGGGGAATAATTCATTTTATGTT